TTGTAATCTTTCCCAAAAACTTTTTGATTTTTTTATCCATTTTTTAGGCAAGTGACCCGCCGTGAGCTCATGTACATCACAGCTTCTATAAAGCACATGGAACATTGTCTGGTTCCCTTCCTCAAAGAATGTGACGCCAATGATGACAACAGCATCACACTACAGGAGTGGGCCAACTGCCTCCGCATACCACAGGGTAAAATATAAATAAGAATTATTAATTACCACATTGGAAACAAATAATTAATATCTATTTTTGCACACAGTTTATCAACATCCAAGGTTTGAATGGGTTGAACCCTTTATCAAGGAGCTTGCGTATTAAACCCTTTTTTTCCTAACGCCAAGTCAATCAAAAATAATAATTGACTAAGCGTCAAGAAAAGGCAAATTTATTCAATAAAAGAGGTGTTTAACTTATTGAAATGTCAGAGATTGACGCAATAGTAATAAAAAATACTTATATACATTTTTTGTTACAGTTATTTTTGGGGGATTCAAGCCTGTTTTTAACTGAGGAAGACACCATTATCTCAGAGATTTAATTAAATGTGACACCATGTCATAATGTTTCCGTTCGTTAATTATATTATACATGTGCTTTACCTCCGCGAATTAAAAAGCTTTTGGAAAATGAATTCCATAAGTTATATATTCAACAGATTTAAATTCAATTTATTCCTTGGTAGATTTAGGGAAAGTTTCTGGATATTCCAAGAGTTATAAATGAGGAAGTCAAAACAGCACATTTTAATTAAATACAGTAATTCTGGTGAAATCACTGGGTTAAATGCATTAGAAACATGTTACAGCCATCACGTCAGTGAGAAATGTTTCCTGATATATGTTATTCTCATTATGTCATGATTCATTCTCCATGCAATGTAAAATAAATTGCTACTTAAAAATCGCTGAAATAAAATTTTCATGGTTTTAAATCTGGGAAGATGATCACGCATTGAATCCTTACTTTATTATTTTGACACCTTTAGACTGTTTCCTTCTTTTCTTTGGTAGATAGCATCTTTTAAATGTTTTCTTCTTCTTCAGCTTACATGTTACTGACAATTTCAATTCCGTTTGGTTTTCAATCTTATGGAGTTATATTGCCTAAAAAACTATTAATTGTATTATTTCTTTAAACTCATCATTATTTTCTTCTCTTTTCAGCGGCTTTAGTTGATCAGTGTAAGCATTCAAAGTAAATTGTGAGTGTAATAAATGACCAGAATGTGAATAGATATCACATGACCACCACGTGATAATCATGTGACCAGCCATAGACAAATTTGATTGGTCAAACATCAATGTGTCATCAAGTTAATTACAAGAAATGCCTGGAACGAGAGTTTAACTTCATTTTTATATATATCTCCTTTAGTGAAGAGTTTTAGTCAAGGATTTATATTACGTCATTAAGATCACTGCTTTTAGTTTATCCAGAAAACTTTTTTTTTAAATAGATGTGCAAGAGTTTGGAAACTTTGCATGTAGAACGTTTGATATATCTTACATCTGGTCTGAACTGTTGTATGAACACTCATGTGCCAAATTGTGTGCTAGTCATATATATGTGTACTATTATCTTCTATAACACTGCTTTAGTTCATTAGATCTCATCATTTTACACTGAGGAAATAAAACCAGTCATGTTTCGGGTCCTTTTAAATAAAATACCTAATTAAATTGTGGTAATAACAAATTATTTTTACTATTTTAAACAAATGAAAGTTTGGAATTGCACTGCACTTAAAACCAGTCTTTTAGGGGAAAACACATAAAATATAAATAAGATAAAGGTAAATATCAATCAATTTATGTGATGGAAAGACTGTGAATATTAATTGAAAATATCTTTACAATTGTATTTAGTTGTATTGTTTTGTTTTAAATGCCGATTGTATAAAATATATAATATGGACGTTTTTCTTGTATAACATATTGAGTTTTGTTGAGCATGCATTTAATTAATTGTATAATAGGCCAACGTCATTGACATGTAAAGTTTGAATCAATATTTAATAGTATATAATACAGTTATTTGACACTTTCATTTTCTGAAATTCCCAGTAAGAAATAAATGTAACAAGAATAATTTGAACACTGAAATTTTACTTTTAACAGGAAAATTTTCAACATTTATAAGATTATTTACTAATCAAATACGAGACAAGTATTTCATTCAATGTAATCAAACAAGATTACAGTTAAACACATTTTTTTCGTACATTTTCATTCTTTTTCTTGATATTTTTCATACTTCGCACATACATTGTACACTTAAATAGAAAGAACAATTTCAGTAGCTTTATAATTAAAGTTTTGGTCTTGTTTGTCTACATGTAGCATATGGCTTAATTAATGTCAATCAGTTTGTGTATTATAGGCAAGGGTAACTGTCAGAATTCTGTAGCTAAATAAAAATGTTACAACAACAACATTCTTTTTTGTTTTGATTTAACTAACTCTCAATCTACAGAACTATTGATATCATCACTGGGTGGAATAATTTCTAACAATTCTTGAGTAATGATGTGAATTTCATTTTGTTAACAAGAAAATTTGTTCCTCACAGTATTGTACTGATATGAAACATATGAACTTTCCAAAGTAAATCTCAGTACATAATTACACATTCAAGCAGATACAAGCATTTATTTAAATATACATTTAAAACACCCAGTTGGATAACTTTCTCACAAGTTTCCAACTCAAAAGCAGTCATTTGGAAGAATTCAATTTCAAGTCCCAAAAATGTGCTAACCCTGCTTATGAATTTTATATGCAATGCACGTGATCAACAATGTGAAAAGCAATGCTTAGCTTCACATGAAGTGTTGATTTCTTACCTAGCCTACAAGTTATGTTTTAGTATTGAGGCTATGAGTAAAATTAATGAAAGAGATAAATTTATAATGAATTCAAATGATAACGTTTAAAAACAACAACAAAAACAACAACAAACCTAAACATCAAACTGGTCTACAATTAAAATGGTCCAGTATTTTCAAAAGAAGAAAAGAAAAACAAACATTTGGATCACTACATTTATAAAGTTTATTAAACAAGAGCTGTCCGTAAGACAGCGCGCTCGACTTTTTTAGTGCTTGCCTATAATACAAAACATTGACAGTTAAGGGCCATAATTCAAATAAAATCTTTGACAGAATTACCTTCTCCTGGACATGTTTGGGAATCATGATTGTAAACAAGTATTCCAACTTTCAAATTAATATCTCAAACAGTTCAGTCAAAAAGTGGACTGGTACTAAAAACTTAACCAAGATTCTAAGTCGATAAAAGGCCTTAATTTTTAAAACAAATCCTTGACAGAGTTACCTTCTCTTGCGTACAGATGGGGTAATGATGTGAAATAGCATTAAAAAGTTTCAAAGCAATATCTCAAAGGGTTAAGGCAATAAGTGGATTTTACCCATATTCAATGTATTTTCTAAGTCAAAAAGGGGCATAATTCTGTCAAAAACCTTGACAGAGTTATGTCCTCTTGTCTGTTGATGAAGGTCGTGATGGTAAACAAGTATGGTCAGTTTCAAAGCAATACCTCCAATGGTTTTGAAATAAAGTGAGGTGGTACAAAAAACTTAACCAAGCTCAATACACTTTCTAAGTCAAAAAAGGGCCATAATTCTGTCAAAAACCTTGACAGAGTTATGTACTCTTGTCTGTAGATGGAGGTTATGATGGTGAACAAGTATGGTAAGTTTCAAAGCCATACTTGTAATACTTCTGAAATAAAGTGGGGTGGTACGAAAAACTTAACCAAGGTGTGACGCCAACGCCGACGCCGGGGCGAGTAGGATAGCTCCCCTTTTCATAGAAAAGTCGAGCTAAAAATTAATACAAAATGATCCCTGTAATAGAAATTAAGCACTCATTATTTTGAACAGAACACAGTTAATAATGCACAGCAGATATTATGTAACACAGTTACTATGGCAACAAAACATAATTTAACAATTCTCATAAAACAAATGCTATATTTGAGCAAAAGAAATGGAAATCAAATACATTTTTAATTTTATATTTTCTCACAGACAAAATAATGTCTGCTTGCATGAAATATTACAATGTTATTTGGTTTTTAAATTCCAACAGGCCACTTTATAATAAAGTATTATTTATTGATTGTTCAAAGTTGGTTGGGAAAAAATAAAAGGAAGTTAATTAAATGACCAGAAACTGTTCACCAAGAACAAAACGGCCATAATGTCCCTATCAACACACACCTGTAATTGTTTCTATCTTTTATCTAATGCTAAATAGTGTTCCTGCATCATTCTATGACAAAATTTTATATCTATGTCACTGACTTGGGTTTTTCAAGCTAAGACAACCCATAACTATTTGAATTTCAATTAGTTACATGTATGATCAAAACATACACAGCAGACTTTCATAAAGATTTGTCAAAATAATGAACATTTCAGTCTTTAAAAAAAGTTTCCTGGCATTTCACAAGGTGACTCAGATTTGAATCCAAAACAACCTATATTGAAACTTATCTAAGAAGTCAAGAGAATTTGAGCAAGTTTCATTAAAATCTGGCAAAAATATGGTCCCAAGAGTGTTAGCTAGGTTTTCCTTTGATTTGACAAGATGACTTAGTTGTTTTGTTTTTTTCTCAACCAAAATAACCATTGTACATATATCAATGAAAAAAAAAACCCAACTTTTTGACAAATTTTGATAAAGATCGATTAATAATATGACTTAAATGTTAACAAGTTTTTTTGTGGAAATTTTGATAAAGATCAATCTGTAGTATGACTAAAGTGTTAACATAGTTTTCCTGAGGTTTGACTGGTTTACCTCATTTTAGACCTAGAAAACCCATATTCAATCTTAACCTGGAAATCTCAAAGCCAGGCATTCTAAGCATGTCTCATTCAAGACTTCATGAAAAATGTGGTCTGTAAAATATTAACAAGGTTTCCAATTGATCCGACATGGTGACCCAGATTTTTTGCTCCAGATTATGAAAGTTCAGGTGTATCCAATCTTTGAATGAGTCAACCATTCCGGCAAAGTTTCATAAAAATCTAATTAAAACTATAACCTCTGGAGAGTAAACAACCCTAATGTGCAGGTGATGGATGGCAGACTATTGACTGTTTTTATAGTCTGCCCTTTAGTATACTATGTATACTATTTAGTAGGCGAACTAACAACCTGTGCTGGTGTTGTACATTAAGCCTGAAAACCAGTATATATCTATCTTATACCACTTTATTAATTTGCACATATTTCATGCATGTATTTCAAGTTGTCCTTATATGTCTCATATAACTTGTGCAGGTACAAAACTGCCATTTATTACAGCAAGCTTATTTTCTTTTTAGTATAAACATTCTTAACATAATCTACAAAAATCACAAACAAAAATTTAAACAAACATTGTTTTTCATGGAAAAAATTTCACCAGTTTTGGCCCATTACAATAATTTCAATGAATCACAAATCTTACAAAAAGTGTCATGTCCGTTCTATAATTAACAGGAAAGAATATAAACAATAACATTATGTAAAACAATGACATAAAGTGAATGTATGTGATATAACCCACTCCATTTAAATACAATAAACTAACATAATTTTATACAACTAATAATTTTAATGCTGTGACATGTGTTTTTTTTTAAAAAAGGTTGATTCCATACATTTTACATAAACAAAAAATTGCACTTAATAAACATACTGCCATTTTAGAATTTCTTTCCTAATATGTTCCTAATATGTTTGTGTTTGGTCCACCTCAAACAACATTTGCATAGTGATAAAATATTCTTTCACAGTGTTTCATGTGGCTCTTGCTCTATACAAGTACATGTTTAATCACTCAGTTCATACAAGTACATGTAAAACAATCACTCGATTCATACAAGTACATGTATAATCACTAAGCTCATACAAGTACAATCACACAGTTCATACAAGTACTCAGTCCATACAAGTACATGCATAATTGCTCAGTTCATACAAGTTTATGTAGAATCACTCAGTTCATACAAGTACCTCCATAATAACAAGTACATGTATAACCACTAACTTCATACAAGTACATGTAAAATCACTCAGTTCATCACAAGTACAGTCAGGACTCAATACATCAGAATCCATTATACTGACAAATTCAAATAACGACAGTGAATTTGTGGGAACCAATTTTTTTCAACGTTATTATTATCCTTTATAACGGAAAATTCGTATTCCGACTCTGACACAATAAAATTGGAAACCAAATGTGTTATTTTCTATACAATCAGTACCCGTTAAACTGACACTTGGTCAGTCAAGCGCGCATATCATTGAGCCGTGAACAAAAGCCGCAAGGTGTTTAAAAAGGTATTGTAGCTTGGTCAGTTGATTGTTACACCTTATTACAACACCAACCTGCTGTTGTCAGCTGAATTTTGTTACACTTGCTAACTTGTGACTTTTTTATTAAAATAATTGCAGAACTTCCAGCTAAACGTCAACGGACTAATTTAACTTTTGAAGAAAAAAACGAAATCATTTCATATAAAGAAAGTCCTATCATTGTTTGTGCTTTTTATTTTATAAAGTTTTATCGTTTTCATATCAATCTTTGACTATTTAGTTGTTATTATTTTAATAAAGTTGTTGGATGATATGTAATGTGTACAATAAAGTGAACACATATACACAAAAATCTTTTTCATTATAAATGTTTATTATAGATCTAAATATATAATGATCAGATACCAGTGAATAAGCATATCATCCTTGATGAATGACTGACAAATTCGATATCCTGACATATCTTTTGGTAACAAATAGTGTCGTTGTAATGAGTCCTGACTGTGCATGTAAGACAAATCACTCAGTTCATACAGGTACATATATAAAAACTCAATTCATACAAGTACATGTAAAACAATCACTTAGTTCATGTATAATTACTCAGTTTTAGGTCTAGGAGCAGATTTAGACCGGAACTTGCCGACGACTTGTGTAAGAGCTACGAGCACCAGTGAGCCAACAATGACGTAGGATATTCTGTATAACATCACAATACCAAACACTAACATCTGTGTCACCATTATATGAATAAACTGTGACATAAAATTCAGAGATGACCTGAAAATAGATATTGATTATATGTAATAATTGCATATTGGAAGACATAAAGCCTTGGCACATACCTGTCGAAAAAAAATCACTGACTACAACTGATACAGCTATAACTATTTTTCTTGATTAGAATTCAAAGAGACTTCCACTATTGTTTTTTTTGACATGATGGGAATGGAACTACTTTGATCCGAGACTTTTTTTACCATTTGATGTAGGTCTATACCAATAACTTGTGTGTTAACTTTCAGATCATTTGTTTACTCAGTTTTTCCATCATAAACATTTTTATGCAAAATGACCTATAAATGAAGAGTTTAAACAT